GCAATCGATCGCAGTGCCCAAGCTTTACTTTACTGTTGCTAAATGCACGTTATCAGGTACATTGTGTCTATGGCTTTCTGAAATGATGCTGATTATTTCATTACCTCAGTGGCAATGAAATCTACAAAGCTGTTGGCCTTCTCCAAGCTTCTGCAAGCTTCTCAACGAAAGCTGGGGAAACTCTCCAACGGAACCCCTCAAAAACTTCTTTGTCAAGGCAAGGTCAAACATGAAACCATGAGGGATTATATGGCGAGCATGTCTTGGCCTGAGGACGTATTATTCAGAGTAGTCCGTCTCAGTGTGCCAAAAGTAACAAAGTCATATTCATCAATGACCTCATGGCAAAAGTGAGGAATAGAGAGGCCTCCCCAGAACAAAATCCGGTTCCGAATCAAGTGGTGGTCGTCTCACTTGATTGACAACAGAATTCATAAGCAATACAATATGAGCCCCAGGGACAGGAAACGAGGTATCTCTGGAGGTCTGTATCGCTTCATATTGAAAGGAATTGACTCGCAAAGAAGACAGTTCCATAGCAAGCCACAACAAATAATCTAAACATTGCCTAGCTCCACAGCCTAAACTCTGAAGCGTGGCCCAGCATTTCAGAAACCGCACCCATACCAATGCAAAACAGAGCCGAACAGTTTGATCGGAATGATGTCGATGTCACATCTTCATTAAACCGAGAAAGGCATCGAAGAAGCCGTCAAGGCTTCTTCGATATATGTCCACCGGTCGTGATGGGCTAGCACCGAATATAATGAAGAACTATTATGAGGTGCTCGCCAAACCAACCTATGACGCCTTCAAACACTATCTCGAGTCTGAATGACTCCTCAAAACGTGGGGGGGGGGTGATACCTTGCCACTCCTTTCTACGCGATGTAACCGGAAAACCCCTGGCTAATGAAGTCTATGTAAGTCTTTAGCCATAGAACCAGTGTTCAAGATCTCAAGAAGGCTCTGGGAGTAAGTTTGAGCCACTGACGAGTGTGGTGGCTGTCTGGGACTACTTAACCCCTAGTTACGACAATAGATAACCGGACCATGCCGCCTTCCTGTCCGATCAAAAGCGCCTGATGGTGTCCTTAACAGCATGGCTTTGGCAGGCGAAACGAATCTCTGCTTCATTGGTTCGAAGTGTATTGTAGAAGTAGGTAGATCTGCGCAACAATGAGCGTAATATTATTCGCTGCATGATGTCAACTACAAGGATATCATAGCAAGTAGGCCTAAAGCCACTTTTCCCCCTGCTGTTTATTACTGATTTTCCAGTGAAAATTTTCTCGTCTATTCCTCTGTTTGGTGGCTGCCCAAAATTTGAAAGGGTTGCAAACGTGTAAGCTGACTTACAAGTACTTCACGACGACCTGCAGCAAATAGAGGCCTGCTCATTAGATGGCGGTTTCAACTTCAATCTGGAAAACACGTGTCGTGACCAACCAGAAAATGAAGGCCGTTTGAGAATCCTAGTTGGGTAGCTTTGAGACCACTAAAGCTTCCACAAAAAATCTGAGGCCAACCTTCTCCGAAGAAAGTAAAACCAGAATTATTGTAAGTGGACAGTAACAAGGGTTAACAATTCCCAGCACTATCTGAGCAGGGAGCTTTGTTCTGTCACCCGGTACTTTACATGACAGTTTGCTCGTGTTATTCAAGGCCGTGTCTGGAAGAGCTCATTTTGTGGCACTTCTGGCCTTCCAAATGAGACTCTTATCCGCCTCAAAAAGTTCAAAGATCTGCAAGAAGGGGAGTTGCCAGATCAAGGGGGAAAATAGATCCTGAAAACAGGCACTCCAACCTATTTGCTCTAGACCACTGAAGTGAGAGGAGCAAGTTTAAAATGACCTGCAAAATTATTCATCAAGCGAGTCGACGGAACAGACTGTCCTTGATTTCTCAATAGTGGTTGCTATGGGAGAAACCTATCAGAATGGAACATCAAAGAACCAGCAACGGGCTTTGGTTAAACTTCTTTTCCTGCGAGTATGTGCTATATGAAGTTCTGTGCCCCGGGGAGTAGTTACAGTCCTCTTAGTGGACTAGATTACAAGACGGTTGGAGAATTGTGTCTGTTTGTATGACACACTGGCAACATAATCAGGCAATGGTGATCCCACTAGCTAACTAATATTTTCCTCTTATATATTTCCTGATATCTGCTTGTTTTCGACTTACTCCGCCTTGTCTTCAAACATCCCGATAGCAGGTTAACTCAGCCAATCTACCTTTATTAACAAAGAACGCTCCATGTCCCATTTTCTTATATTCCGTCATTTCCATATGGAAGGAATTCACAAAAGACTTCAAATCACCTCTGAGATCCACAGCTTAACAACCAGTCCAGTGTAAAGAGTGGTAAATACGAACTGACAAAAACACTCGCCACTCAAGAGCTTAGAGGGGGAAAGAAGGGGAGATTTCCCCATTATAGTGAGGCAAGGCAACAATTAGTTATGCGTAGTCTTTGAATTACTAAGCATTAGTATTTATTATCCAGCTACACTCTTTCTTTTTCACTATTCAAGTTCCAAGATTGTTTGAACAAGCTTCTTTTGCATTAACTCTTTAACCGGCAGTTTCATAACCATTAAAATAACCTTCAGTCAGCTGGAAGTATATAAGAATCGGTTCTGCTGTATAGCAGGAGGGTTGCGCATTTTGATGCAATAGGTAATGACGTTTTTTTATCATTTCTTGATGTTATTTTCCATTCTATACAGTACACTAACTCATCTTAAATACAGTCAGTTTGTAAGCACTTTCAAATGGATGTAGTTTACTTTTTTTGATGTCGCTGGCGCTAATTTCTGAGAATTGTAAATTTCAGGAGTATACGTACGGATGATATGTTGCTATGAAGACTTTAAGCCTGACCATTACTTTGAATCTATTCATTTCATAATCGCTATACACTTTTTCGCCATTATTTTTAGTGTTTTCTATCTTTATTAGCATATAAATAGCTCTTGCTCATAAGTTCACAATGTAAAACAGTAATAAATGGTTTGCTTTGTTCGATCCTGCGTTATCTGTATGAGTTTAATGGCAACTTTACCTGCCAGTAAGCATCAAAATCTGGATTCCGTTGACTTTCATGTTTGTCAGAAAAGTAATTTTTTGGACGGGCTTGACATTTTTGAAGCTTTCCATCATTGTCTGAAACTTTCAGAAGTATTTTAGTAGCTTCATCTGTATATGTCATACTGTTCCATATCTGGAAGGATTCGAGAATCTTGCTGCTTTTCTGTGTCGTGGAGTGCTCTTAGTAACTGTATGCTCTTCTAACTAAAAAGAAAAAATCTTTTGGTTGAACGCATTTTTTTTATCATACCATAGATGAAAGGATGATATAGCTTGTATTTCCATAGCTTTACAAGCCTAGCAACTTCGGTATTCAACGTACAAAATGTTCATTAGGATGTACTAGACTTTTGGAGATTCGCATGTTTTACCATTTTACTCACTGTTTACAGGTGAATATTTCTATACATCTACTTAGTAACTGAATTTGATAAGGCTTATCTTGTTCTCATGTGCCTTGAAAGACTAAAAATACAACAATTTCTTAACCTGCCAGAGCCCAACTAACCGTTTCGTTCAATTTTTCGCTTACTAACACCTTCACTGTTCGAAAGTCATAATACTACATCTCGAACTGATTTTAAATCACAATTAAGTGAGAAACGTTGAAGTAGTATGATTGGATTGAAAACATTTTGCTTACTTATTAGCACATACAAGGATAATGCAGCGCAGCCTGAGAAAGGAGTAGAAGTGGCATGAATGCATGTCGTATTAGCCTTTAATCATACCAGTTATCAGTTTTTACAAAATCGGACCATGGAAACTGAATATTTAATTTTTTCGGCTTTTAAAATGAACCCCAAGCCTTACCAACTCTTAGTAATAGTTATGCAGAATAATATTACGTGATGACTTTACTACATTTTTCAGTTTATCATCCGTTGACACTATACCGTTCACATATTTAAAATACAAGTTGATACCTTGAGGGTGATTTGCATTTGTTTTTATTCTGATCTTCGATAAAAGAATATTTTGGAGCACGAAATTTTCTATGCATTCAAACGCACTGGATTCTGAGAAACTGTCGGCGCACTTGCAGAAAACATGTTTGACTTTTGTGAAATTGTATCATTTGGGATCGCATTTACATAGCATTTTAACTATCAAAGTGATGCTATAGTGACGAGCTGCACTTCGACGTTGGTTAAAATGATGTTATTTAAGACTAAATGTCTAAGAACAAGTATTTCATCAACAGTATCTGTTTTTCGTTTGGGTGACAAAATTTCTCTTTGAAGTGAAAACCTAGTTAAAGTATCAAAATATAACCAAGCTGATAAAGAATAGCTTTGTTCAGTAGATATTTTTTCGGAAGTGTTATTTCCAAAATAATTTGTTTCTTCAGCTGTGTTGCATGAAACATGTATTGACAACTACAGTTATCTTGTCTATAATGGCTGCGTGTTCAGCTTATATTTATCGAACAAAAGAAAAGCACCATTTATTTGAGTACCGACTGATAACTAGGATATGCAAAGATGAATTGCCGAACTGCGTATTCAGTAGTCCTCTTTAAACAAGTGTTTTATACACCTGCTATATGCTTGTTTACGATTTGCAATATTGACTAAGCTTATCTAACAATGAGTTTGAAGGAATGGAGGAGGTTCGCGCTTGACTAAAGTTACGCATACATGAGAACCGAAGTCACTAGTGGTTTGGAGTTTCTAATTAGAATCAGTAATTTCGGATGCATTTATATAGAGCCATTCTCTTTTTAAACGCTCTTTTACAATGCACATTCATAACTATTGAATTGCATTGCTAAAAGGTTTCATGTACCCACCAGTTTACTCATTGATGTTATCTGTTGTTTATGTGCTTATTAAAAATATTGTAGATATTTTACTCTTGTCATGATATGTAATTGTTTTCATCATTTGTAGCTTTATCAGAGAGCTGTCATGGTAAAGACATTTCAAGTGTATTTAGGAGCACAAGGAGGTAGTTCAACTCGAAGCAACAGTAGCAATAGTAGTTGCAGTAACGGCAGCGACAGTGATGACCGTACATATAGCTGTGTGCATTGTCGTGCCCATCTTGCACGTCATCAGGACCTTATATCTAAATCATTTCAAGGAAGCCAAGGTCGTGCTTACTTGTTCGATACAGTCGTCAACGTGTCTTGTGGGAAACCCGAAGAAAGGCTTTTACTCACTGGTAATTTAAGAATGATTTGTTTCGATTTTTTAGAGTAATAATTTTTATTCGTACCTGATGTTGAATTTGATTTGTTCCCGAAGACGGCTTGCATCACAAACTAATATCAACCAAAAACTACTGAGAACTGGAAATTACTTGATCATTGTTTTGTGATGGCCTCTGCTGTTGGATGGCTATGAGACATGGCTGCTAAAAGTAGACGATATAAAGCGGCTGGAGGGTTTTGATTATAAATGTCTTTGCAGCATTGCTTGCGTTTTGACAGAATTACTGTGTGAGCAATGTTGTGGTGAAGTGAAAGGTACTAGGCAAGATAAGCAAGAAGATTGACGAGGTAAACCCTACTCAACTGAGATAGCCTGGATATGTACTGGGCAAATTGAGCCACCGCCTACATTGATGTGCCATGCTAGGGAGAGTTGAATTAGGTTGGAAGACGGTTCAGGGTGGTCGGACCAAGACATGACGTCAGTCCATGAAGTCTCTCACGTTGATCTGGGCAGTGTGGGGAGATGTGACTGTGTGGGGGGTCCTCGAAACGGAAGAATCAGTGGTTGAGGACTCTTGATGATACGGCTGAAAGTTGGACACGGTAGCACAGATGTATTCACTCTTCGACATCTTCTAAAACTTCAATATCCACACTAACCTTTATCTTTGTCACCAGTTCTTTGTATACTTCTGTGAAGTGTGACAACTTGAGCCGATTCAGCTGTATGAAAGGTTCTACGTTGACTTTGTTAATCAGTAGATCAGATGGTCTATCCACCCAATATATCAAGGCTCACACCTGCATTTTTCGCAAAGACCTCATCACACCTCAGCTTTAAAACTGATGGTACTGTTTCAAAATAATTTTTAAGATCTTTTTCCGTCCATTAGTTTTATTTTTAAACAACTATTTGTTGCACTGCAATGTAAACTATGTGTACTGAAGTGTACTTTGAATGTGCTTATAAACTACTGCTTTACCAGGTGTGTAAGGGAATATGTAAAATAGTTAAATGTATAAAAAGAATAAGGTTCGCTAGGCTTTCATTCATTTAGATGCCTTTTTTCTTACTTATCAATGTTATGTTTTGCAGTATAGAGAATTAAGTTATTTGTGGTGTGTAGCTATGTTTTTAAAAGGCTATCAGAAACATATTGCCAATTTCTGTATGCAGATGTCTATGAAAAGGGAGATTGATACTTTAATATAGCAGATTTTGTTGACCACTTTATAAATATTCAATATATGTATTACTGACTTACTAACGATTAAAAAAACTTATTGATGAAAAACACGAGGACAGTAAAATATTGTAACTTTTCGAATAGGAGGTTTCAAGCTTGTCACCTTGATAGTTACTATAAAATTCAATACGAATCTAGTAATAAAACACTAGTTTGTTGTCAACAATGGTAGTTATAATTATAGACAAAACAAATAATTTTTATTATATCTGGAGGTTTGTAAAGGTTTATTAATTATCTTGGTTGTATTGTGTTCTCTGATCTGGGTTGTTTAGTCGTGAAGGTTTCATCGTCTTTCTAGACGACATCATCAACACTAACTTCAGTATGATTTTACGTTGGAATTCATCATGGACGATATCAGTCCGAGAAACATTGGGACCCTAGAAGTACTGAACAACTGTTTCGTCCAACCGTGGGACTCCTCAGCATTGCGCATCCACGACCCCACCCCGCAAGGGACTGAACCCAACCTAAAATCAGTTGATTAGTCTCCACAAACCTCCAGATGGAATTATTCTAGCGCTCATTGGTAACTAGCTTCGAGGGGTGACTCCCGAAGTTCCAATGAGAATTCGTGACCAGTGGAGTCAACTAAGTCGAAGATGATGACAGTTACTCAACGACGTCATTGGATGTAGGTTGCACTATATCGTAAACTGACAGAAGTAGGAAATGTGAACCATTGGATCCCAACCCAGTGGTTGGATGGTAAGGTGCTGGGCACGAAGCCGGAAGGTCTGGGTTCGATCTGTGGCAGGGTGGAGTCATAGATGCGCACTGGTGAGGAGCCTCATACTAGGACGAAGTGACTGTCAGATCTCCCAGATTTTCAGTTTTCCTCCAACTGATATCACTCCATAATGAGTTCCAACCTAATATTTCTTAAGTTTATAATGATACGTAACTGGTGTCAGCCACATCTATATGATAATAATTTCTTACTAAAACTTAAGAGTTTTCGAATGAACGAATGTGAAACAAACCAGTCACTTAATGAAGACATAATCGATAATTTTTTCATGATTTCTCTGTTTGCTGATTTTGAAATAAATGAGTATATGACCAATATTATGGTGTGCAGATTAAAACTCGAACCTGTAGTGATATACTGAAATTTGAATCAGAATGGCCTTAGCAACTACATGCAAACTGATGTAATAGGTGACGAGTTAAATATGTTATGCCAGAGCCTATGATAGCTGCCCACACGTTGGTAGAGTGAAGTTCGTACCTGCGACCTACTGATCGAAAGTTTACTGCCTAAACCAATCATTCATAGCTCTACTAGTGATATATTAGATTCGCTTTATTATTAGTAAACAAGGTATTCCATAGGATTGTCTGCGAATTATTTAAGAATTTTACTTTTCATGTTGACATTTTTTATAGCTGAGCAGTTTCTTAGCTGTACAGTTCCGGTACTAGAAAGTTTCGTTTCACAAATCAACTAATCGTGATCAAAAAGTATGATTTTGTGACATAAAAGTTTCATGAATTAACAAAATATACTATTGAATAAAACTGAGTAGTAAAAAACCATTCATACTGATCTACATATTTCAATAACTAGACATTAGATAACTGTTTCGTTGTATGGGGACCAGCATATTAATGATATACCTAAACGAATTCAACTCATAGAAGCAAGTTATTATTCCACTATTTTTAATCAATAGTTCAATCAGTCAAACAGGTGATCAGATATATTTGAAACTGTTTCATTTCCATAATACCTAATGCATAAAAACTGTGTTGTTGAATACAGCAATGCTTAAAAACTCACTATTGAATATCACAAATTGCTTGATCACTCAGATGTAATAGATTTTTAGGCATTAAAAGCATTTTGCTTCCTCATATATAACTATTGATCATTTTGTTACCTTGATCAATATTAGTTGATATTTTCACACTTTTATTATCATGTTTATGAGGATATAATTTATGATAAACAAGTAAAAACTTAGAATTTCATTGAATTTATAAGAATAAAATTATATTTTAACTATTCTACTACATAGGTATTTCCTTATTAATCAAGTTATAAGTACTGACTATTTTGCTTTAATTGTCAATTTTAAGTTCATAGCTGAAGAAAAAGAAAAAGAGAGGGAATAAGTTCATCAAAGGTTACAGAAATATCCAATTGAGGATTATTCACATGCATAAAACTAACAGTTGATCACTTCTCATCAGTTACATCTAAAATCCAATAAGTTATAACAGTATATCCTATAATTTAGCTTAAAACTTGAAGTTTTCTGATGACTTAACAAGTAATCGATTTCAATAACCTTGGTACATTCAATCCTTATCTTTTTATAGACTGAAAATATCTTAATACTCTGTGAAATTATTCTGTCTGTCTAATTTATTTGAACAGTTTCCTCTTTCTGCTTTTAAACTCTGGCTTATTAGGTCATATAGTTGGCTTTACACAAGTTGGTCTTAGGTTTAAACTCTGCTACATCTACCACATTATTATTATTTGTCCTTTGGGTTCCTAGCGAAAAAAAGAGATTCAGCAGCACGCCACCGTTTCACTCTCCTCTCTGCAGTACCTTCAATCTCTCTCCACTACTGCCTACAAGCTCTCATTTCTTCCTCATACCATCTACTCCATATCACCCTTACCTCGAACGCCCATCTCGTTATTTCCCCTTTCGGCTCCACTCGACGGCCTCGCCTCGCTGACCTGACCTGACGCATGATGTCTCCAAACCGTCTTCTCAGTGTATCTCCAAACTAATCCATCTCCACTTACTTCTTGTGCATACTTGTTGAGCGATGGGTTGTTGGTTGGTTCGTTACCAGACAACCAGAGTGACTTCCTTGTTGCTTATTCTTATTATTCTGGCCATCCATCTATCTCATCTTCAGTGTCAGTATCGAGTGAGTGTAGATGACAACTGTTGATGGCTGTCTCTAGTTTATTGGAAATGTTTTTCGTAATGCCTCACTAAGTCTCTCAACCACCACATAGAAGCACTGACTCACTTGACTGACATTTTTAGTGTTGACAATCCAGATCTTCTTCACTCTTTATGCTGAGTGCAGTGCAGTAGATCTGCACACTGATTTCAGAGTAATGCAGGAAGGTCAGTCTTGCTGTCTTTCCGATCCTGGCTGCTTTGACATCTCATGTGTGCCACCGCCACCACCATCACCATCACCACCGCTTGTAGTTGAACGTTGCAGCCTTGCCTAGACAGGTGTATGAAAGAGACTACTTCCTTTAGATTTCTCCCGTTCATCATGATTCGTGCTTGTTGTTGTTGGTTGGTTGGTTGGATATCTTCATCTCCTCCACCCCTGTCTTTCTATGTTCATTTGGAGTCCCGTCTTCCTTCACTGACTCGCCTCTTCTGCCATCTTGTTAGTTTTCGCTTGAAGGTTTTCTAGTTTGTGCGACAAAACATTAGACATAAATCATCATCGGCGATGAAGTGCAAATCTTCTAGGATCTTTTCATCGACCAAACAGCTTATGCCTCTCTTCTCGCTCTTCACATTTTGTTGCATGATCCAGTCGATCACAGTATTCATCTTGGAATAATAGGAGTTGGAAATATGGATCTGAATGTCATGGGTTCGATCTGTGGTGGGGCGGGGTCATGGGTGCGCAAAGATGAGAAGTCACATACTGGGACGAAGTGGTTGTCCAGTTCTGTCTGGTTTTCAGCTATTCTCCAACCGATGTCAGTCCATGATGGTTTGTAAATGCCCTAATCGTATGAAACCTCATGAAAATTTCACAAC